ATAAAGATTCCAGCTTTCTGAAACAGAGTTAGAACCTAAGTCCATTTGCTGTAAAATATTTAAAGTAACATGAATAGGGGTTCACCACTAAAACATGCTATATACATTTCAAAATGAAACATTTTTTTCAAAATATTTTCCAGCTGGTATTCTAATTGATGTTTTTACACAAGCTGTGCAATATGTATCACACATTTCACAATATGAAAGAATTGGTTGATCTACTTGCTGTTAATTCCTGAGAGCTGAGGGAAGAGACATAATTTCCTGTTCATGTAATGGAACTGTTGGCTTGCTATGATTTTTGAAATGTATAAATGATCTCCTTATCACACAACAGACAGAAAATGTGTCCAGTTATGGAATAAAATATGTACTTACGCTTAGTGGTTTTTAATGTAATGGGCAATTCTACTTTAACAGCAAGAGAAAAGGAGCACCAAAATACATATATCTATTTATACATTAGTATTATTGAATGAGAGTCTGTACCTCAGAAGAATATTGGAAATCTTTACTACTAATACAATGATTTTAGAATATTTAAGCATATTTTAGAACCAGGAGTATTCACCTCAATTCTTCAAAATAACTGACTTCTGAAGTGAGCCTTAAACAAAAAAGACTGCAAATAATTCCCTTAGAGGAAGAAAAGTAACACAAACAAGAACCTTTTTTATTCCTGCCCTTCACTTTACCTTTCAGTCATTAACAACATACTTAGATATGTTTAGTAACGATGTATACCCAGATATCTTTCAATTACCTATTTTGGTCATATTCTAAAGATTATTTATAACCGTTCTTTTTTGCAAGCCATCTGGCAAAATGGATTTCCAGTAAAACCAAGTGCTTTGTAAGAAAACAATGTTTGGCTCATCTAAATTAAAAGAACATTTAAATTTGAGTTGGAAACACTTTGGTGACTCACTATAATCCTTCCCTCCTTTTCTTCTCTTAAGTCATTATAAGAAATAAACTGTTAGTGACAAAGCTGTTATGAATTAACCTTCATAGTCTGATTATATGTAACGTACATCTAAATTCAGGAATGCTTCCTATATACGTTCCTCCCTTGCCACATGAGAGCAAAAGATATGACCTTGTTCAGTGGTCTTCCACTTAGCTGAAGGTGGGGGAGAGGCCCTCCTTTAGGAAGGCCAATATCGTGAGACACAGTGCTATACCGATTATAGTCTAAGACTACAATGAGGAGGAACTCTTAGTTATGAAGCATGCTGAGTATGGAGCTAGTCACCATCTCTCAACTTAGATTACAAAATCTCCTACCCTAGAGGTTCATTTGGCTCCTTTAAAATACTAGTCAAGACTCTGGATGAAATCCAAGAGTATATTATCTCTCAACTTAGATTACAGAGGTTAATTTGGCTCCTTCAAAAAACTAGCCAAGACTCTGGATGAAATCCAAGAGTATATTATCTGCCAGATGAACTTTAGCCAAATAGATCCTCCTCTTTCCCATCATACCCTTGTGATCTCCTCTAGAGGATCCTCCAGAAGACTGCTTACAGGAGATTTAGTAAGTAGATGTTGTATTTTTATTTTTTTTGGGTGTATGACTCTGCTGCACCCCACATTAGGTACTTGCTATAAATATTGTTAATAAATGACTCAGTCAGTCACGTCATCAAAACAAAGGCACTAGCTATTTTCACAAAAAATGTTTAATAAAACCTATTAACAATATGGCAGCCACATTTGTACGTGTGCAAAGATGGGCAAATGGTTGAAGAAATTTTAAGGCGTGCAATTATTTGTAGAAACGTAGTGGGTAGTATATAGTTTACTGTGAGGAATTAATGTCAAAAGAAGCATAAATTATTGTGTGTAAGAGTGTGCTTATATGGAAATGAAAATAAAGTACATCAAAAAAAAGCATAAAATATGGTAAATGCAATAGGAATCAAGTCTTCAGACCCTTATGAAATGTACCCTAGAATACTGAAAGACTGGCTGAACACTGTCAGGTCCTCTGCCGTTTAACTTTGAGGAGCCCTAAAGAACTGGGGATGGGCCAGAGGACTAGAGAAGAACAAATGTACCCCTCCCCCTTTTCAAGAAAGGGGAAAAAAAGAGGATCCCACTGAACCTATCAGTACCTGAAAAGGTGTTAGAGCAGGTAATAAAGCAGGCCATCTGGTTATACCATGAAGATAATGGAGTAATTCCTAAGAGTCAGCAGGATTTTGTCAAAAATAGGCCATGTTAGATAAATCTCATCTCCTCCTTTAATAAAGTAAATATTTTAGTGGACAAGAGGAATGCTGTGGATATAATCTACCTCAATGTCAGCAAACCTTAGACAAGGTTCCACACAATATTCTCACTGACAAGCTGTTAAGATATGGTTTAGATGGCACATCAGTAAAGAGGGCCAACAATTAACTGGGTACCAACTCAGAGAATCAGGATTAATAGTTCTGCATCAAACTAGTAATTAGGATCCCACAAGATCTACCTTGGAGCCATATTATTCAACATTTTTATTAATAACCTGGATAATGGAATTGATACCTGCTTATCAAATTTGCAGATGACAGAAAATTGGGAACTCTGCCCAACCCCAAATATGTTTTTCTGATGTTTTTAAATGTTATTGCATGTCATCTTGAGTCACTGCTGATTAGGCAGTCTTACTAATTAGTTAATTAAATCCTTATTCCCTCTGTTCTGCACTAATGAGACCATACCTCAAATGATATGTACAGTTCTGGTCACTAATTTTCCAGAAGAATATTGACAGATTGGAACAGACTAGAGGAGAGCAACAAAGTTGATACAGAACCTTTAAGAACATATCCCATGAAGAGAGGTTGATGGAATGTGGTTTGTTCAGTATGGAGAAAAGACTAAGGGGAGATATGATATCAGTGTTCAGATACATCAAAGAGTACATAGGAAAGATGGTCAGGAACTATTTCCATCACCATGGGAAAAGTATTAATGGGCAAAAGTTGCAAGTACTTCGAATTTGTTTAAATATAAAGAAAAAAATTATTGATAATAAGATCTGTACAGCACTGAAACAGACTACCTATGAAGATTGTGACTTCTTTCTCTAGAGGTTTTTAAGAAGAGGCTGGACACCCACCTCTTGAGGATGGTTTAATTAGGTTTTTCTGCATATTGCACAGAGTTGGAGTCTTCCAATTCTGCAACTATATGATTCCATAAGTAGGTCAGATGAAGAGGTAGCTGCATATTGAGCAGTGCAAATGAACAATCCCATCCATTACAATTATACTTTTTTCCCTTTTTTCTGTTGACAGCTACTAAACATTTCTTGGAACACTTGGCCTCAATTCAAGATAACTGTTGAGTATCTAGCTCTCCTACCATAATGGATTGTGAGAATGACCTTGGAAGATGGGGGGAAAGATGCTGCTTAGGGAACAATCAGATAAAACGGGGAGAAGCCTGCAACTGAGTAATGGACAGAGACAGAAAATTAGAAAGGATCCGCCCTAATTGATCAGGCAGTAAAAAGAGACCGCAGGAGATTTGTACTTTCAGACTTGCAAGATTCTGTAGCCTAACAATAAAGGAGAATTAGCTCACCTGGTCATGTATCCTGTCTGGTTTACCTGGGAGGGCTGGCATCTATTACACAGGCTAATGGAATTTACCTGCGGCTTCATGATTTCAGCAAATAATGTGGAGCAGGAATTTGATAGAATTGGAAAACATCATGATGCTAGCCAGTGGTAAATTCTCCTAGATATTACAGCAGACAAAGGAAAACCAGAACGCACCTGCCATTTTCATCAACCCTCATATATTCAGTTTGACTCTATTTTCCCTATTCAGCAAGCAAAAATTCAATAGTACTTATTGTTTTGTATATAATTATTTGAGGTTCTAGATGTTGGAATAGCCCATTTTTGTTTGCTTTTTCACATTCTTTCAAGTAGAAGCTGCTTTGGGAATATATTATCTAAAGAAGGGCTGAGGAGGGTGGAAATGGGGTTCAGAAGAAACATGTTCTCCATTTAGTTCTTTTAAACTACAAAAACTGCAAAAAATTCCCCTACAGCTTAAAAAATATACAGTGAGGTAAAGGACTGGGTCCAGTATGCAATTTCCCCTTCCTTACTGCAACAAGCTTGCTTAAGTTGCAGAGAAGCAGTTTTTAGTTATTTATTTATTTATTCAATTTATATAGCTGCCCATCTCAGACCAGTGACTCTTATAGCTCTGAAACTGCTACTTATAAGGATTCAGCTCAAAAGATATGCGTCCATCATGTTTTAGCCAAACAACTCCAACTCCAACTTCTCCTTCTTTTCCCTGCCCTAGCTAACAAAAGAAGCAAACAGCAGACCACTTGGTTCCCCTCAGTGTACTTCTCAATGCTAACTGGCTGATGGGTTGTCTTTCCAAGGATGCTCTCTGCTAACAAATTACCAATATGTACATGCAACCCTTCAACCCTGTCAATTTTGAGATAAGAGTGATAGCTTTGACTTCCTTAATACTTTCTGAAGGTGTAGCTGGCTCCTGCCTTGCTCTCCCACCTTTCAGTTTAGGCTCAAAATGCATCCATAATCCCACATATATATTTTTATGAACTGACAACTAATTAGGAAGAAGAAAAAAAAGAAAAGGCAGAAGAAGAGCCATTTCTCAGCAGAAATCCAGTATTCTGCTCTAACTCGCTCAACCAGTATAGGGGTAAAAATACTAGTATTCAAATCTCTATATAGCCCTGAAATCTCTGTTTTTGACAATTGGGCTAATCTATTCCAAAGAACTGTCTAAATATTAAAGATCACAGATGCTTCTTGAACTCCATAAGCAAAGAGATACAATGATTGCAAAAAGTAAGAAATAATAAAGGAAACTCTCTGAGTTAATCCTTTAGCATTATCCTTCAGTGGCAGGAAAAAGGAATAAACCAAACAAAAGAGAAATATAATCAATCCATTTCAGAATTCAGTAATAAGCGATTGCTTATCAAACCTGTCTCTTTCATTACTTACCAACTTATCCAGAAGTTCCTGTTTGTTCTTCCTCTTCAACATCTGTTGCATTTGTTCTTCCTTTTGTATAAGAAGCCGCCTTTGCTCATTCTCCTGCCGTTCAACCTCCAGTGCCTCTTCCAGCTCCTCTTGTTCTCGAGACTAGACAGAACCATAATATTTAATACTTCGGAACTGAAACTTGCTGAGGTACAAGGACCATGGCAACAGAAAAACTCAGAAAAGCAGCCAGTATCTACACCTAGGCCAGGGCAACTATGGATATCTTATATTATAAAGACTTCTTGTATCTTGACATAGATGGGAGCTGATACCCTCTCCCATAATAAAATAGCACTTAAAGGGTTAGGTTAGGCTATATTCCTTCATTCCAATGTTATCCCATAAGCCTCCCTTTTCAGACTAAAGAGATAAGGGTACCAAGGTTCGATTTCCATAAGAAATAAGCTAGGTCTCATTCTCAAACATTCAAAAGTAACAATGTCCAAATGATCTGCACCTCCCTAACTTGTTCAGTTAAGGATCAGATTACATCCATGTTTCAAGAATTTGAAGCAAAGCTGGGAAATGAAACCAAATATGTTTTCCCTTATACATCATGGATGTCTCAGTCTACTCTATTTTCCCTGTAAGATTGTTGAAATGACAGCACAGATATACAGCCTATATCCTAAGTCACCAGATAAAAGAACTCATAAAATAGATGAGGGGGTGGAAAAGATGCATTTAAATATTTTACCATTAATTCCTTTTTTTTCAATTCAATCAGAGAGAAATTTGAGGCAAACAAACTCTGCACAACTTACCAATTTGATCTTATTTTTATGAATAACTTCTTTGTTTTCCTTCTGGTATATTTCCATTTTCTTTCTTGTACTCTCTACATCAACATTGTTGGTGAGGTTGAACACTGGATCAACATTTATTAAAAAAAAGCGGAAGGGAAGGGAAGGGAAGGGAAGGGAAGGGAAGGGAAGGGAAGGGAAGGGAAGGG